ATATGCATTATCTGAGTAGCATCAACTGAAAGAGGAGACTCTAAGCTTTCCAAATATGTATCATTCATTAATTATAGTTTTGATTAAGTTATGATAGAACATCGATACTTCTCGGTTTCGTTTTTTCTGGGACGCACTGTACAAGACCATCGTGTATTATTATTAAGTGACACAAACTTGATTTCTAAAACCCGGGGAATGACGGTCTCTACCATTTCAACAACAAAAATGTGGGGTTTTATCTGATTATTATTATCTTATCATAATTATACCGAAAGTAAGGACGTATATGAATATTAGATTTGATTTATTTGTTTTGGCTATATAACAAAATGATGTGAGAATGGGGAAAATTAAAGTTCTCCATTCTTCTATAAATCAAAATTTTCATAATACATTGATTATTGTCATGAACTGAAAATTAGAATTGAGAACAATTATTTAAAAAAGAAAACAATGAACGGCATGGCCTCATATCATGTCATCATATAACAAAACGGTATGAAATAGTCACCTAACAAGGAATGTACGTGGAATGGATTTCATTTAACGGTATAAAGTTTTGGGAAATTTTGAAAATTGGAAGGATAGTGATTCTTTACAATTTTGATATAACGGATGCCCCTGTGGATGTTTTATAAGCACTAGAAAATTTAGCCCCTGAAACACTTTTGCTTTCGAGAAAAATTGAATATTGAACTGAAAATTAGAATTGAGAACAATTATTTAAAAAAGAAAACAATGAACGGCATGGCCTCATATCATGTCATCATATAACAAAACGGTATGAAATAGTCACCTAACAAGGAATGTACGTGGAATGGATTTCATTTAACGGTATAAAGTTTTGGGAAATTTTGAAAATTGGAAGGATAGTGATTCTTTACAATTTTGATATAACGGATGCCCCTGTGGATGTTTTATAAGCACTAGAAAATTTAGCACCTGAAACACTTTTGCTTTCGAGAAAAATTGAATATAAAAATTTACCCGTGCTCCCGGTAAATTTTGATAAATTTCAAATAGCGCCTACGACCGTACAATGGTAGCTGAGACCATAAAAATCTCAGAATATGTAGTTGTAATATATAATTTCCAAACGGAATAGCTAATCGGTCGATTTTCGTCAAGAAATATTGTTTTTATAGCTTAATTAATATCTTGACCTTGAGAGGAAGCTATACAACATAAAGAGTTTATTATTTACAATTTCATAACTTTAGACTCCATTTCGACCGCGACAACGATCACTGAATATTGCAGGATCGCATATGCTTCCAATATGTTCATTTGAACCAAATTCATGACCCCATACCAAAACTTTGTATTACCTTTAAACGATAAAGTTCGTAAGAATCCAGTCGACCAATATGATAATGTATTGCTCTTTCTTTTACATTTATGGAAAATATGAATCGATGTTAATGTAATTAGAAATGTTGTCTATCACTTAGTATATGTTACTACCCTTTTTTAAAAATTTAAAACAAAATAAAGATATGAAACATCATGCATAGTATATCATAAACTATTCCATTTTTATCCAATTGACTTTGGACTCGGGTGTATGGTATAATGCAGATGCAAAATGACGACGGGTAAAACAAAAATAAGGGGTAACGGGAGGAAACAGAAATGGGGGAAGAAAAGTAAGAGGATGAAGACCGAAAATGGGAGATGGAGAAGCCCGTCGAGATTAAACAAAAAGTGGGAATATGGCGATGAATAAACCATAGTCTACAAATAAAGATCCATGGAATAAAGAAGAAAAGATCTCAACAATAAAGGACAACGTTCAATAGGAAAGACATAACGACAAAAAGATCGTGAAGAGAAAAAAAAAAGGTGAAGAAAAAGTCTAGATTATGAGGAGAGATCACACACAAGCTTAATAAGATGATGAGTATATAAGACGATGAAAAACGAGAGATTTTTTTTTTTTAAAGAAAAAAAGGAAGAGATGACAAAGGGAGCAATGGTGAATAAGACAGAAGACAAGAAGAAGAACAGACTAAGAAAAAGAAGACCAGAGAATGGGAAAATAGAAGTAAATAGTGGTTTCTAAATAAGGGAAGTATTTTGACCGACTTTATGAAGGACAAGAAATTATTCAACCAAATTATTCCAACACGTCCAAATTGTTTGACGAGAACGAACAATAGTAATGCCTAATATAGTAACAATCTGACCAGGCATCTGCAGACCAGTGACCATTAACCCAACTTTTTATACAATAAAAACTGGCTTGTACCATGTTTAAAAATCATTCCTCAAATGATTCTTCGTTGATTGCATATCAAATATGGCTAAACAGCAGTACAGTGTTGATAAATAAATTCGGTCCAGACATAGATTTCTTCTATTCCCAAATTTAATTTTGGAAATATCTCTGAGCTCCGATAGTAATAATATTAATAATATTTAGCTTTTATATAGCGCTTAGTACAAATGTCTCTAAATGCTTTACAAATATACTATTACTCCGGTCATTGGATACAGTGCTTGCCCGCACACAATGTGTGCACAATCTCCACTCCCCGGGGAGCATTCCAGGCGTTACTTGATGCTCAAAAACTGTTTGACCAACAATGACGGTCGCATCCTACCGGGTACCCATTTAACACCTGGGTGGAGAGTAGCAAATGCAGGTTAATATCTTGCCAAAGGATATTAGTGCCGTGTCGGGATTCAAAGTTTGATCTTGGATGATTGCACATTTAAACAAGATAAATGCGACTGGAATTATCATATTTCTTGTGGTTGGTGAGAAATCACAATAGCAAGGCTAAAACCTGTAATTTCATTAATTGACTCCTGTGACCTTTGACCTATTAATCCCAAATCTAATCAGATTGTCTTCCTATGGTAATGCATATTATCATCAAGTTTGAGCCTTATATCAGTAGTGGTCCTAGAGATTTCGCAATAACAAGGCTAATATAGCTAGAATTTCTAAAGTTGATCTGTGTGACCTTGAACCTATTTACTCCAAAATCTAATCAGATTGTCTTCCTAAGGTGATATATAATATCAAGTTTGCAGTTCTTATCTAAAGTGATTCTTGAACGGATAACCCTTCGACACCACCTTTGGTGGGAGGAGGCATTTAAACACATTTAGATTCAAAATAATATGAATATATGATATATATATATATATTTCACATCCAATTGTTTTATTTGTTATACATATAGTTAATGACTAAATTATTCATACCCCTTATAATTTGATATTGTGTGTGTTTTTTTCGCAACTTTAGAATGAAAGGTGGACTGGTTGAATTAGGGCCATTGTTGAATTCTTTGAAGTAAAAGCTTTAATATATCACATTATCAAGAAACATAAATTGGTACCAAAATTGTTTCCACAAACTTAAAATTACAAATCTTGGTAAGGGTATGAATACGTAAGTTGTTAACTGTATAGATATATTATACAGAAATTCCTAAAAGTTAACAAGTAGGTTAGCTTAACTTAAAACAAATGGCTTATTGTTTTCAGGGTTACTGGGGTACACATTTATATATTTCCTCGGCCCTTGCATAAATCATTTTTTCATGTCCATTTCCAATATACATACATGGAATTTTTCAATACAATAGAAACGTAAAACATAAAAAACAGTCTTAACTACATGTATATATGAATCTGTTGCTTTTATTTATTAATTACCCTTTGATACAAGACAAAACAAAACTACGAACTACTCTTCACAAGGTGCTACACACTTTTCCATGCTACATATTCTCATCTCTACTAAAACAAAAAGGTAAATTTATAATACAATTACCTTGTATCATCTAAAATACAGTTCTACTGATCTTCAGTCCTTTTATACTAACAATTTTGATAAATGTATACCGGTAGCATTAACCATCACCAATGAATAAATAAAATGTTACATTGAGTTTAACCTTTGGGGACATTGGAATAAATGAAAGTCATGTGTTGAACACCTACATGATACAGAGCATAATTATACAAAATAAGATTTTACTTTTGCAGTTAATAATCCAACACCTCCTAAGGATTATCAAGAGGTCTGGGAGATGGATATCTATCATTTGATTTGGAAATTGGAATAAATGAAAGTCATGTGTTGAACACCTACATGATACAGAGCATAATTATACAAAATAAGATTTTACTTTTGCAGTTAATAATCCAACACCTCCTAAGGATTATCAAGAGGTCTGGGAGATGGATATCTATCATTTGATTTGGAAATTGGAATAAATGAAAGTCATGTGTTGAACACCTACATGATACAGAGCATAGTTATACAAAATAAGATTTTACTTTTGCAGTTAATAATCCAACACCTCCTAAGGATTATCAAGAGGTCTGGGAGATGGATATCTATCATTTGATTTGGACATTGGAATAAATGAAAGTCATGTGTTGAACACCTACATGATACAGAGCATAATTATACAAAATAAGATTTTACTTTTGCAGTTAATAATCCAACACCTCCTAAGGATTATCAAGAGGTCTGGGAGATGGATATCTATCATTTGATTTGGACATTGGAATAAATGAAAGTCATGTGTTGAACACCTACATGATACAGAGCATAATTATACAAAATAAGATTTTACTTTTGCAGTTAATAATCCAACACCTCCTAAGGATTATCAAGAGGTCTGGGAGATGGATATCTATCATTTGATTTGGAAATTGGAATAAATGAAAGTCATGTGTTGAACACCTACATGATACAGAGCATAATTATACAAAATAAGATTTTACTTTTGCAGTTAATAATCCAACACCTCCTAAGGATTATCAGGAGGTCTGGGAGATGGATATCTATCATTTGATTTGCTAACCTTTGTCCTTATTTATTTGTTTTAACAAATTATTTAAAAAACACAGGAAAATAAAGTTGCTTAATTCTGATGTTATCAACATTGTTTCATACAGTGCAGTGTAGCTGTTGTAATGGCTTGGAATGCTGAGGATTTCACCAAAGTAGTGCTACCTGAGATTTTTTTTTCTTCTCACAGGCATTCAAATGTATGACAAATTTACATGAAAAGTATGCTTAGTGCTGTCACACAGTTTTCTACAACCTGCTGGGCAGATAAGAGACATTGATTTTAATTTAAAGAATACATAGATGATGAAATAAAAGCAGAATGATTGTTAGGTTCTTTATCACCTTTTAAGGCTTTTACAATATCAAAATCCAATTATAGAAGGTGGAACAAAACAATTATAGAAGGTGGAAATGGCATAAAGTCGACCGTTTATTATACACTAATCCTCAGTGTCGTCATATGCCATAATACCCTAATTTATCAATTGTACAAAAGAGAGTTTTGTACTACTTCTAGATAAACTAACTATAGTTACTCAGCTAAAGAGCATTTCCTTCATATTTTTTTTAAATAATGCTCAACATAAAAAACAGACAAAAGAAAGGAAGGAAAGGAATGAGATTTATCAATTCAAACTTTTGCTTTCTCTCTTTTTGTTATTTACACACTGATCACATATGTGATCGTATTGTTTGCACCATGCGTTATAACATAAACAGGTAGATGTAGAATTTTGCTTAATTTACCACTGAAAGGCATTTCCATTTTTTAAAAGTAAAACCATGAGGAATTGGATTAATCTCTTTATAGCTGAGCTTAATTTTGTTTTATTTTGTTTTGTTATCATCGTTACACATTCTTTAGAATTTATCTTGAGTTTCAGTGGTGGAATTATATTTTGACAGAAAATGACATGAAAAATTATGAACTGTTTATCATACCATAGATGGGTTTGTTTGGATAATCAGAATACATCATCTGTTCAGAGCTAAAGGGGCGTTAACTGTGTGTTAAAGTATATGAGTTAACTAACTTCTGGCTACAAACAGACAATATATGAGTTATCAAAACCTTCTAGCAACTCACATTCATTGAAAGGCATATATGTTTCTATGTATGACATCATACTTTATGGAGTCAGAGATACGAGCTCGATTTGTTCAACTTCCTGTGCTCACAACTCAGCCTCTATACACTGTTGAACTAAATCATTTGGAAGACATTATTTTGGGGGGTCTTGTATTTTCATTTGATACTGTGAGTTTGTAATCTTATCATCACCAGAACTCAAGATAAACTTTAACATCCCTGAGGTAAGATGCTGAAATAAAACTTGAATAAAATAACTAAAATGACTCATTCAAGTTGTATACTCTAAAATACTTACTTGTAAAGATACATATTTCTAAAGAAGACCCCAAAATTGTTTCTACTATAGTGCTGACTATCACAGGTCGATTATAATCATAAAAAATTTAAACTACCGGTACAAAAATTACTAATTGCGAGCACTGTGCTTTCTCATGGTGTAAGACGCTTGGGATCACGAGGGAAGAGTGATGTCTTCCTGATATTGTCCAGACCAAGGTACAACATGGTGACACGCTCCAGACCTATTCCACCACCAGCATGTGGAGGCGCTCCATAGCGAAAGGCATCAATGTAGGCCTTGATCTTCTCAATATCTGCATTTTGGAAGAAAACAACAAATGCTAACTTGTCTCTTGACCTACACACAGCTTAATATAATCAATATAACTTTTATTGAATACGCTTTAAAACATGGCAATATGCCTCACATAATGAAAACTGAGGGTCATGCGCTCCCAGCTTGAATGTGCGCGGTTATAACATGTAAAATCCTTCAATTTTTTGGTGCAATTTTTCTTTAAAGCTTTATGCACCAATTACTGTGGGCAGAATCTATCTGGGGCGAACAGCAAATACAAATTCAAACATAAAATTTTGCAATTATTCTGAATGGTTCGGCAGATTTTAAAACTTTGTCGCGACTTGCTTTGAATTCATCCTTACACATTCACATTCAGAAAAGAGCAATCGCTATGGGAAAAGCCTACAAAGTATTTCACTCTATGTTAATCAAAAACGCGGGAACGTCTCACTTTGGGAGCAAGGATTCTAATTGTTGAGTTTTTCTTCTTTCCATCGATATATAACATTCACCATCGTGGGTTGCATATGGTCGTCGTGTTTTTTGTTTGAAAATTGTAGTCCCATTAAAATTTATGTCACATCAGAGAGATCTGAGGCTGTGACGTCATAGATTCATTCACAAATAATCACTGAAGTCCATTTAACCAAATAAGGACGCACGGTTTCACGTGCATTGTGCCGTGATTTGTGTTGTTCGTTCCTACTTGTGATTTTCATCAAAAATAACACTGACCTAGTAGTTGGATGCTATTAATTGACACCTCATTGTAACTATCAAGGGTGAATGAATGTTTGATATTGAGGTATTCTTTAATAGTAAAATACATGTCCCCTATTTTGTGTAGAAAAGATAGCACCCTGAGCCAGGGCTGCAACATTGTTTTTGTTTCTCGCAAACAAAGGCATGCAAACAAAGGCCACATGGGAGCTGGTAAGTGTGTGTTTCGTGAGGCATGGGATTTAATGTCCAATTTCGGGCAAAAGTTTTCATTACCGTATTTGCCGGCGTAAAGGCCGCAGTATTTTTGGAAGAGAAAATATCAAAAAGTCACGACGAAAGAGTAAAAAACTAGATGGAATTTTGACTGCGTGCAGTCGAAAATGATGCCTCCGCCATAGAGCAATTTAAACAAGTTTGGAGTTTAAATCTCCAGTGGTTCTTGAGATATCATGATAACAATCTCAATGTATGGAATTTCATAAGTTGACCTCTGTGACCCTTGACCTTTGACCTACGTGCTCCAAAATCTAACCAGATTGTCTTCCTATGGTGATACACACTATCATTAAGTTTGAAGTTTAAATCTCCAGTGGTTCTTGAGATATTATGATATGGTGATACATACTATCATTCAGTTTGAAGTGAAAATTCTCCAGTGGTTCTTGAGATATCGCGATAACGATCTCAATGTATGGAATTTCATAAGTTGACCTCTGTGACCCTTGACCTTTGACCTACGTGCTCCAAAATCTAATCAGATTGTCTTCCTATGGTGATACACACTATTATTAAGTTTGAAGTTTAAATCTCCAGTGGTTCTTGAGATATTATGATAACAATCTCAATGTATGGAATTTCATAAGTTGACCTCTATGACCCTTGACCTTTGACCTACGTGCTCCAAAATCTAATCAGATCGTCTTCCTATGGTGATACATACTATCCTTAAGTTTGAAGTTTTTACATCTCCAGTGGTTCTTGAGATATCATGATAACAATCTCAATGTATGGAATTTCATAAGTTGACCTCTATGACCCTTGACCTTTGACCTACGTGCTCCAAAATGTAATCAGATTGTTTTCCTATAGTGATACACACTATCACTAAGTTTGAAGTTTAAATCTCCAGTGGTTCTTGAGATATCATGATAACAATCTCAATGTATGGAATTTCATAAGTTGACCTCTGTGACCCTTGACCTTTGACATACGTGCTCCAAAATCTAATCAGATCGTCTTCCTATGGTGATACATACTATCCTTAAGTTTGAAGTTTAAATCTCAAATGGTTCTTGAGATATCGCGCTAACAAACTCAATACAAGGAATTTCGTAAGTTGACCTCTGTGACCTGTGACCTTTGACCTACGTACTCCAAAATCTAATCAGATCGTCTTCCTATGGTGATAAATACTATTCCCGAGTCTTAAGTTTAAATCTTAAATGGTTCTTGAGATATTGTGATAACGGTCAAACGGGACGGACGTACGGACGGACGGACGGACAACCCGAAAACATGATGCCTCCGGCACCACCTTCGGTGGCGGAGGCATAAAAAAAAAACGAAAGCCAAAACCAACACGAATTTGCACGTTTGGGACTAGAAACGGTAAAATAACAATACCACTATGGTACAGGACATTTCCAAACATCTTACCGACAATTTTATCTTGCATTGTTGACATGAAGACGAAAACATGAAAATGTTGTAACACAACATTTGCCGATAGATCTTGATCTAAGTTCGTGCCAATGCATTGCAAAAGTAAAGGAAGGAACAGTCTAACGGAGCTGCCGCGAACATCCATCCGAAGTCGCCATTTTGTTTTTCCATTTCATGCAGTTTCGCATTACACCGTACATTGTGGTAGGGGTATATCGGACACCAAATCTGCCTGCAATCCCTTTTTTAGCTAAACTTCCGGTAAATTATAAGAATATGGATGAATTTGGTATCAGTTTGTAAAAAAAAATAGTGTTTTCGAGAAAATTATGATTATTTTGTTGTGTCCGTTTGTTTTTTTCCCCTTTTTTTTCTTTTTTTTTCCTCCCTTTTTTGAAAGGTCAAAGTTGGGGTGCGGCCTTATCGCCGGCAAATACGTTATGTATATTGTATAAGGAACTCTAACATCATAACCACAAAAGTGCATGCTGCTACAAAGTTTAAAGAGCATCAAAACTTATGTATTATATCAATTTCCTCATGAAATATGTATTTAAATATACCTTTTTTTTATTTTTTTTTATTTACCACAAAGCAATTAGGATTTAGTTGCACTAATCACTAACTTAATTTATCAGGTTTTCCTCAAATCCAAAAACCAGATAACTTTACCAATGTTATGGTGCTTGGCTCTCTCCAGGAGGAACTTTGAATCGTGAACTCGCTGAGCACCAGACATGATTTCTTCTCCTCTCATGAAACAGTCATAGGAATTGGAGTATTGCTGAAAGATACACAAAGAAATAAATCATGACGAGTGAGAAAATTTGTAGCATAGTGTGAGATATATTAATAATAATAATAATAATATTGGCATTTATATAGCGCTCTTACAGACATACATGTGTATCACAGCGCTTTACAACATATTATTATTACCCCGGTCATCGGATTCAGGCTTACCCGCACACAAGGTATGCACATTCTCCACTCCCTGGGGAGCATTCCAGCCAGTCGCCATTTTACAAGCGCCACTTGCTAATCAAACCACATTAGCTTTCGCATCCTACCGGGTACCCATTTTAACACCTGGGTGGAGAGTGGCAAATGTAGATCAATGTCTTGCCAAAGGACATTAGTGCCGCGGCGGGACTTGAACCGCGGACCTTGTGAAACATTCTGAATTAAATAGATTTTCATTCTGTCCCGTTTTTGTTGTTTAATAGTAGAGATGACATTTATGACTGGGAAAATGATGAGGATAATGATAGTAATCATGCTGATTAAATAAAAAATATTGATATAGGTGATAATGAAAATAATTATGAAAATTATGATTATGTGATTATAATAATAACAATGAATAGACATGTTTCTCTCCCTGGTAAGCATGGAAATGGTAAAATAAGAATACAAAGGGCAAAGGGAAGAGCAAGAGATAATTAAGATATTGAAGAGGGAGAACTAGAGCCAGAGGCAAAAAAAAGGGAGAGGGTAAGAGAGTACAGAAATAGAGAGGCATAGACAGAGGGAGACAGAGCAAGAGAGGCATAGACAGAGGGAGACAGAGCAAGAGGAGAAAAGGAAGACAGAGCAAGAGAGGGAGAGGGTGAAAGAGTAGAGAGAGAGAGAGATCCAATGGAGAATGATGCATTCAATATTGCCAGCATAAATAGAATTGAATATAGAGAAAGAGAAAAGTATAGACATGTAAACAACTCTATGTCCGTGGGATAGACGTAAACATTGCATATAACTGGGCTGAATAATGAGACAAATGTTTGGGAAGACGACTATCATCATAGAAAAAGGATGATTCAATATTATAGCAGCCTTGGGAGATTAATTAACCATATATAGGTTTAATACACGACAAAGAATCAGATTTCACATAGGGTTGTACGCAAACTATTGACATTCCTCTCCCATAGATATAACACGCAAAATTAGGCATTTATTACATTGTTTGTGAATGCTCATATATATGACATGTTATAATTGTTGTAGAAGATGATAAAATCAATTATATACCTCACTTAAGAAATCCAGCCATCTGATTGGTCGAAATTGCATTCATAAACTTCAACTATTTCTGTAAAATTCCCAGTAACCATGGTTATTGGGAAAATAGTTTAGTCTCCATGGTTACCCCATAGGTTTACATGTTAAAAAATGGTCTGAGTGATCGAGGATACCGTACGTGTGCGAAGAATTGGTCGGTAATTTCAATACAATTGAATCTCGATCGATCTTACGGACAATTTTATCTTGCATTGTTGACATGAAGACGAAAATAAACTTCCAAAAAAAAAAAAACAACATCTGCCGATAGATCTTGATCTAAATTCGTGCCAATATGCATTGTAAAAGTAAAAGAAGGGCCTGTTTAATGGGGCAGCCGCAAAGCATCCACCACGCGAAGCCGTTTTCAATCCATTTTAATGTATATATAAGAAAAAACTGCTATGTATGGTAACAGAGCGCGATAGCCGAGCGGTTTAAGGCGGTGATTTTAGTTACATCACCTTTTGTACGCAAGAGATCGAATCTCATCTTCGACAAAAGTTTTTTTTTTTTTTTTTTTTTTTTTGGCATATAAAAGTATTAATGACTGCTTTAATATTCGAGAAATAGTTGTTTTTATACGCTCTCGGGAAATCCAGCCATCTGATTGGTTGAAATTGCATTCATAATCTTTAACTATTCCTGTAAAATTCCCGGTAAAATTCCAAACCTAGGTAATAGTTTTAAAAAATAGTTCTAAAATCCCAGTTACCATGGTTACCGGGAAAATAGTTCTAAAAAATAGTTCTTAAATCCCAGTAACCATGGTTACCCATAGGTTTACATGTTAAAAAATGGTTTGAGCGATCGCGGATACCGTACGTGTGCGAAGAATTGGTCGGCATTTTTAGTACGGCAATATATCTCGATTCAAACAAGGCAAAAATGGCTGTAGAAACTCTCCCAAGATTTCAACTTCTGGATGAGGATCAAATGCGAGACATGCTGACAGCAAGAACACCAAAAAGGGTACGTGAAATCTTCCATATTTTTTTTTCAGTAGGCCTAGATCTAGATTCTAGTATGCGACAACCAGATGCTGGTGATTGTAGTGATTTGTACGTCACGGACAGATGCAGATCCTTCCCGTAGAGATTACACACAAAGTACACATCCCTATGCATTTCCATTGGCCATTGCACACTCGATCATGCTAGATTGGTTGATGTTTTAATTACCAGAGATTCAAACTAATATTGCTCATGATCCTGAAGGTGATACTCAATAAGTGAGGGGTCATATGAAAGTGCAGGTTTTTCTCCATATTCCCCACAGGGCCGGCCTACCCCTAAAATTGTAAAAATATCTTACTTAGACTAGAATCTAGATCTAGTCTACTCTCAAAGAAACACTCGTAAAAAACAACCGTGCAGATAAACTAGAGAAAGGCCAAGGTGGTGTCATAATTTGTTCGCATATAAAAGTATTAATGACTGCTTTAATATTCGAGAAATAGTTGTTTTTATACGCTCTCGGGAAGGTTACAATTGTGCTATTGCCCTCGGCATGCCTCGGGCAATAGCACAATTCTAACCTTCCCTTGAGTGTATAAAAACAACTATTTCTCTCAAAGCAGTCATTAATACTATAATATAAAATGACAGCTAAAAAAAAAAAAAAAAAAATTTAAATTTGGGATACAAAAAAAAAATCAAACCAAGGCTATCTTATACAACAGATATTGACTGGCAGGGGGTATATAACATTTCTTGGACCTGAATTTCCCTCAGCACTGTGCGCTTTAGGAAAATATAATCCCTTCAGTGGTCCAAATACTGTTATATCATACCCCCTGCCATTCAATATCTGTATAATATTGAAGCCCCAATAGACTGTAGTGTTATCAAAACCGTTTAAAAAACAAAAAATAGAATTTCAATTTACAATCATAAATATCTTGATAATCGGACAGGCGGTCAGCTTGTAAAAGTCATGGGATTCCTGACTGACCCAAGTATGGCTGTAATCCATCAATCGGTTCTTGAGATAACGCGATCACAAGCTATTTTTGCATACATAATAAGCCCTGTGACCTTTGACCTAGTGACCCCAAAAATCTTATTAGTTCATTAGCTCTACAAGATGCATACATGACTCAAGTTTGGAGGGAATCCATCTTGAGATAACGCGATCACGAGAACGGGACATACATACGTACGTACGAGTGGACGGACGGACAACCAGAAAACATAATGCTTCCAAATGGCTATTCTATGTTGAGTACAGCCATTATGAACAAAAACGCACAAGCATGCACGTCAGACCTGCCAACCTCTGGAGTTCAAAAACTGTAGTCTTTATTCCCAAAAGTTGTATTCTTAAAAACAACTAGATGGAATTTTGACTGCGCGCAGTCAAAAATGATGCCTCCGCCATAGAGCAACTTTACAAACCAAAACGGAAGCAATTTTTAAAATTCAAGTTTGATTGTAATCCATCTGTCGGTTTTAATAATAATGCATTCACAAGCTATTTATAGTCATACATAATGAGCCCCATGACCTTTGACCTGATGACCCTAAAATCTAATCAGTTAATTGGCTCTGCAAGATACATATATACATGTCTTGAGTTTGATAGTAATCTGTCTATTGGTTCTCATTATAATGCGATCACAAGCTATTTGTGCATACATAATGAGCCCTGTGACCTTTGACCTCGTGACCCCAAAATATAATCAGTTCATTGGCTCTGTTAGATACATACATGACCCAAGTTTGGCAGGAATCCATTGACCGGTTCTTGAGATAACGCGATCACGAGCTATTTTTGTAGACATAATGAGCCCTGTGACCTTCGACCTCGTGACCCCAAAATCTAATCAGTCCATTGGCTCTGTTAGATAATACATGACCCAAGTTTGGCACGAATCCATCGATCGGTTCTTGAGATAACGCGATCACAAGCTATTTTTGTATACATAATGAGCCCTGTGACCTTTGACCTCCGACCTCGTGACCCCAAAATCTAATCAGTTCATTGGCTCTGTTAGATACATATATGACCCAAGTTTGGCAGGAATCCATTGATCGGTTCTTGAGATATTGCGATCACAAGCTATTTTTGAATACATAATGAGCCCTGTGACCTTTGACCTTCGACCTCATGACCCCAAAATCTAATCAGTTCATTGGCTCTGCAAGATACATACATGATCCAAGTTTAGAGAGAATCCATCAATTGGTTCTTGAGATAACGCGATCACGAGAACGGGACGGACGGACGGACGTACGGACGGACGGACAACCAGAAAACATAATGCCTCCGGCTACTTTGTAGCGGAGGCATAAAAATGGAATGTCATGCGGATCAATGCCTCTTACAGTTCCTACATACAGGAAGAATTTTTTTATGGATCATTGGTTGAATATGCATAATTTCGTCACGACTGTTGAGTTCAATGAACCAACGAACATCCCCAAATTGCCGATGTGAGATGCTTGTAGGATACTTTACAGGACAGAATGGGCATTTTGCCATTGAAAATGGCACACACACAAACAAAACAACAAAAATTTAAAAATTAAAAATATATATATTTTTTGTTTTTGTTGAAAATCTTATTTTATTGAGGAACATCGTACTGTCGTATTTGATTCTAAAAATCGTACAAAATACGACTAAATCATACTAGCTGGCAGGTTTGGCGCGTGTGTGCAACTTTTTAATCTTTTATAGCAATGCTCAAAACGACCTAAAATGTATGAATGCAAAATGAATTTGAGACGATTTGGATCATTTTGAAATTTTGAGCACTCACTGCATGTTAATTGACCTTGATCATGCTAAATATGAATTAGAAATGACTTTCTGTTTTTATGAAGATATGATCATGAGTTGATTTTCAAAAAAATTCTCAAAATGGCGCCTGGATGACGTCATGAAGACCTGATGACCTTGAATATGTTGCTGTCATGTCTCATGACAATGACCTATGACTGTGCCAAAATGAAAAGATATTGACTTTACTGATTTTGAGATATCCTCTACACACAAAAATTGGGGGTGAAATTTGAAGAAAAAAATAATAATAAATGAAAGAATAAAGAAAGAAAATTATGACGAAATCAATAGGTGATCTGTCGATGACAGACCAACTAAATATAGAGTGAAAAGTATATGACTTACCGGGTTGTTTGGATCAGGCATAGTGTAGAAAGGCCGAATGCAGAGTGGGAACTTATCCAAGATGTAGAAATCAGTGTCATACTTCTCCTTCACAAGACGACCCAAGAACTTCTCATTAGGGGTGCTGTCACATAATCACAAGGTACATGATTATTTAAAAAAAACTTGTATCATTTATGTGAAGGAGTAGCAGCTGTAAATTTGCAGTGTATTGCATGAATTTATAAATACACACTTTTGATCTCTTGGACCAAACTCTTTTCAAATCCTTGAGCTTATACGCACTTATGCAGACTTGATTAAATTTGCTTCAATGATTTTCAAGTTATACCTGTAACACAATATTGTAATATTTATTGATATTCAAATGACATTATCTTCTCTTTTTAAAGTAAAAATCTCATCAGTTTATCCTTTGCTTACACATACTTAAATCAAGCAAGGTTTTCTCTTATTGGTTCTAAAGTTATCAAGACAACAAGATATGTCAAATTTCATTCTTATATGACCTTGGGTAACGGGCCGCATTAATAAATTTTGCTGAGATCCCCAGTGGTTTACGTGTAACTAGATGGATGTTCAATTCCATGCAGTCGAAAATGGTGGCTCCGCCATAGAGAATTCTTACGAACCAAAACAGGAGCAATTTTTTAAAATTCAAGTTTCATGGCAATCCATTAACAGATTCTCAAAATATGATTATCAGCTATTTTTCATATACATGTATGATCCATTGAACTTTGACCTCATGACCCTTAAAATCTAATAAGTTTATTGGCTCTGCAAGATACAAACATGTCCTGAGTTTGATAGTTATCCATCCGTCAGTATTAACAATGCGTTCACAAGCTATTTTTGCATGTATTCATAATGAGCCCCATGACCTTTGACCTCATGACTCCAAAATATACTCAGTGCAATCATTGGCTCTGCTAGATACATACATGACTCAAGTTTGGCTGTAATCCATCAATCAGTTCTTGACGTATGAACAACCAGAAAACATAATACCTCCAGCTACTTTGTAGCAAAGGCATAAAGATTAGTGACGTTAATGCCGCAGCAGGACGCAAATCTCAAACCATGTACTGTGACGTATCCACTAGACCATGACACTTCTGCAAAATTGTTGTCTGATTAGTTGGCAGCTGGTTACAAACCTAAGATCTTCTAGGTCATCAATCTCAATGCCTGCATCACGCAGCATCTTGATACCCTCAGGCCACTCCAGACGAAGAGGAGGGTCTAGGAACTTGAAGTCTTCTGACGGGAACTGACGTCTTACTGTCTGGATCTCTGTCTGGAAGTTGTCTCGAAGACCCCTGAAGATATCGTTGAATACGCTTCCAATGACATCCAGGGCCTGGGTACAAAGGAAAGAGATGATAATGGTTTGAGTGAAGCTATGTTCTTCATAAACACAGTCATTTAAAACAAATGTTCAATTATTTCTATGGTGAAAATATAATCTAGATCCTTTCACCATTAATGGACAATCCTTTTGATCCTTTTACTCCACAAATTCTTGCCTTCTTTACATTTCTAAGTCCATTCTACAAATTTTCAAAGAGCTTTGGTGTATTATCCCCATGTTAAATTGAAGAAGAAAAATAATTTTTAAAAAATTAAAAAATGCTGTCACTGTATGGGATTAATAGTACTGGATCTTTGATAAAATAATTTAAATGCTAATTCCATGTTCATGCACACAAGCCCACAAATAACCCAACTCTCCCCTTGAAATATTCTAAATTGCCTACCTCATGATAATGATATTTAAAGGCCATCTCCATGTCCAAGCCCACAAACTCACACAGATGACGATGTGTGTTGGAGTCTTCTGCCCTGAAAACTGTCAATAGAATAAGATTTTAAAGAAAGTTTTTAGAAAACACCTTTTCACAAGCAACATATATGTGCCATCCAACGATAGGTCACTTTTCAGATTATTCCTGTCAAATACTGATCTAAATCTAAGGTTCAAGCCACTTTTTAATTTGAGAAAAAATTTTAAAAAGAAGAGACACACACACAGTTTAGGTACAATTCTTACTTAACAGGGAAAATACATGCTGAATACTTTGGTCCCATCAAGATACACCTTGATGTATTGCAGTATGTTAGAGGATAGGGTATGATGATCTAGCAAAAGATAAATGCAAACAACCAGTTAACTTGGAGTGACTCATAACTCATAGAGTGCATTTACAAGTATGGCAGAGAACAAAGAAGCATGGACAAATTTTGTAGTCAATTTTGAATCAAGCACAAAAACAATTTGATTCATTTGGTTTCTATTTTGTTAAGAGAAATGAAAAATAATCTCACCTGCACCAATAGTGAAAACCCTCTCAAAGTCAGCCGCAATCCCCATCTGTTTGTAGAGCTGAGGTGATTGAGCAAGGTAGGCATTGTTCTTGAAGTAAGACACAGTAAACACATTGGCTCCACCCTCACTGGCAGCTGTATGACGGAGAGAAAGGAGGAAGTGTCTTAACATGATTTATGATCTCTTCAAACTATTTTTTTTTACCCAAGTATATTACATGCCACGGACCAAATCATTATGGAATAAAATTTACGGATGCTTCCACTTTATCAATCGAGGGGGAAACTACTGTACATGTGCACGTACCTCGCAGCAGGCCCATTCCAATAAAAATGTACCAAGTTACTCCTCAAATATCACTATTTATGTGTTTTTTCTCGGTCAACTACTGTATTCTTTGTCCAAGTTATGTATCTGCTTATGGTAATTTGGAGTAGTTGTTGTCTCTCCATTGTGCTCTCCTAGTTTTGAATGTTTTCTTGGTACGATACTTGTTAGGGTTTGTTTTGGCACACATTACAGCTAATGGAGTGTATTGCACATTCCTTCCAAGACTAGTCTGAATTTGCCTTGCAACAGCGATGAGTATCAGAAGATGTTGTGATGACTAAGTACTTATCATCTTTCAAAAGAAGCATGCAGTGTTTATCACAAGACAGAAATGTTAATTTTGTTTTTAAAATTTGTTCAATCGGTATGTTGTGAAGAAGAATTTTTTAGAAAGCCGTTTTATTCAACATTTTAAAAAGAGGTTTTATTATTCCAACTTTTTTAGCCTGATTTATTCATCCTGCATGAATCAAAATGGCAGCTTGAATGGTCTCTTCCTATTTTTGTCCCAGTTTTTTACTTTCAGAGGCATGATGAGGCTCTAAACATCACCAAACATGGATAAACTACCATATGTCCCGCGATAAGGCCGCAGCGCCGCATTTCGTAGAGGGAAAAAAAAACGAGAGAAAAAAAAAACGGACCAAACAAAATAATCATAATTTGCTTGTGGAACACTATTTTTTCTATAAACTGATACCAAATTCATCAATATTCTTATAAATTTACAGGAAGTTTACCTCAAAAATGATCGTAATTTAGCAAATCTTCATTGATTTTTAAGCTAGTACTGTATCGCAGGCAGATTTGGTATCCTACATTTACCCCTACCACGATGTGCGGTGTAATACGATATTGTGACTTCGACCTGCGCAGTTGCATTGCGCGGCAGCTAGCTCCGTAACTAACGGTTAGTCCATTCTTTTACTTTTTAGTGATGCAATGGCACGAACTTAGATCTAGATCTACCGGTAGATTTTGATAGAAAAATAAGTGAAGTTTATTTTTAGTCTTCATGTCAACAATGCAACATAAAATGGTTGGTAATATAGGCGAGTTATTCTAGAAATGTCCTGTACCATTGTATAGTCATTGTAGTCCCACATGTCCGAATGGACGTGCTGTTTTGACTGTTGAATTTTCAGTTGTTGCGCAAAGGGCGCACCCAGACTTTTTGATATTTTCTCTTCCAAAAATACTGCGTCCTTTACACCGGCAAATACGGTAGACGAAACTTTGACTGCCCGCAGTCAAAAATGATGCCTCCGCAATAGAGCAATTTTACAATCCAAAACAGAAGCATTTGTTAAAATTCAAGTTTGATTGTAATCCATTAACAGGTTCTCAGAATATCATGATGAAAAGTAATTTTTCATATACATGGATGACCCTTTGATCTAATTGGTCACTAGCTCTGCAAATACATGTCCTGAGTTTGATAGTAAATAACTTCATGAGAGATATTCCAATTTTAACCGAGGTATGCATGTATATTCAAAGGTATTTTCGTATTATGAATAGTCAATTGTTTTATGAAAAATTTAGATCTAACAACGGTATTAGATCTAGCAGGTGATTTTTTTTAATATATCATCTTTTGTACCCGCCCAAAATTACCATCACAGCTCTAAACATAAATGGTATAGACCAAGTGTAGCTTAAAAGTGTGAACAGAGTTAAAGTTCACTACTGTATACATGTTTATCCTGCAAAACAATTTCATCCCATTGTAGGTCCATCATAGTCTCAAACAGCTGCCTCAACAAGTCTCAGCGAGTAAGGTTAATGAATACTTTGTCCACTTAGAAATGCACAAAAGCCAAGACACATGAATAGCATAAGACATGTTCAAAGTGGCCTACAAAAAGTATGAATTAAAAAGGATATTGCAGCCAGGGAGTAGGGCATCACAGCAAAATGTGTTGTGGCCTCACAGCTATACAAGTCATGCAGTACAATCTGGCTAATATCCAACCCAAGATGCTAGTGGTGATATTGGTATCACATCTTAGACATGAAATATTTTGGATGAGAGCTTTCAGTAACGATTAATGAAATTTAAATGCACACTCTTTCAACAAGCTAACATGCAAAACCCATTAGACGACTTTTGACAGCTGTTCATACCTGAAATGATCTTGGGAATCTGAAGTTCAACAAAATCTCTCTTCTTCATGGCTGCACGAAACTCTTGGACTACTCCGGCTTCAAGACGGAAGATGGCCTGGTTAGTAGTGGTCTGATAAACAGAGAAAAAAGTAGCTTCTATTTGTATTAAAAACAAAGGAAACACTCTCGGCGGTCTCGCCTGCATTACGCAATTCGGTAATGACGAAAAATTGAGGTTGGGACATTATTTGTAGGCAGGGTGGCCCATTAGCAGGCCCCCAAAAAGGAATCCTTGACTAAGAATCATCAAAAGAAATATTTACTATAATTTGTACGATTGATAACTTTAATGGAATATGAAGTTATGAACAAATAACAAAAATTGATTATCAATTCTCATATTAAGTTGTGAAAACATAATCCAAATCTACTAACCTAAAATAACCTTTGACCTTGACTGTGTCACCTAAAAGACTAATCCTATGATTGGTGATACTTGATAACCCTTTATTCCAAGTTTCATTGAATAAAAACTTACAAATTCAAAATTAAATTACAAATTAACTAGATGGACCTTCGAATGCGCACAGTCGAAAATGATGCCTCCGCCATGGAGCAATTTTACAAACCAAAACAGAAGCAATTTTTAAAATTCAAGTTTGATTGTAATCCACTGAAACATTCTCAGAATAATGTCATTAGAAGCTATTTTTCATATACATGTTTGACCCTTAGATCTTTTACCTCATGGACCTAAAATCTAATCACTTCATTGGCTCTGCAAGATACATGTTTTGAGTTTGACAGTAATCCATCCGTCAGTTCTATTGATAATACATTCACAAGCTATTTTCGCATACATCATGAGCCCCATATCCTTTGATGTTTGACCTCGTGACCCCAAAATCCAATCAGTTTATTGGCTCTGCAAGATACATACATGACCAAAGTTTGGAGGAAATCCATCAATCCGTCCTTGAGATAATGTGATAATGAGCTTTTTTTGCATACATAATGAGCCCTGTGACCTTTGACCTTGGATCTCGCGACCCTAAAATCTAATCAGTTCATTGGCTCTGCAAGATACATACATGATCCAAGTTTGGCGGGAATCCATTGATGAGTTCTTGAGATAACGCGATCACAAGCTATTTTGGCATACATAATGAGCCCTGTGACCTGTGACCTTCGATCTCATGACAATAAAATCTAATCAATTCATTGGCTCTGCAAGATACATACATGACCCAAGTTTGGCCGGAATCCATCAATTGGTTCTTGAGATAACGCGATCACGAAAACGGGACGTACGTAAGGACAGACGGACAACCCGAAAACATAATGCCTCTGGCTACTTTGTAGCAGAGGCATAAAAACATTAACCTTAGGTTGAGTTTTTGATGTTGACGCCGTAGTCACTGCCACCAGAAAAGCGGCGCCTTTGTCTCGCTTTTTGTTACGCAGGCATGACAAAAACTGAAGAGATTAATAGTCTGCTCCTCAAATTCTTTCTTTTTTTGGTACTGAACCTCCAAAAATATTTCCATAAAAACTAAAATTAAACAATTTAATCCCACAAAATTACACATTGAATTTGATGTCCGTTGTACTGCACTGCATAATGACACACGTTGAAATGCACAGGTCTACACATCAACAAATTATGAAGTAATATCTAAATCTGAATATTTATCATATCATTTCCCATCTTTATGGTACCCTAGAAAGTCTTTTCTCTGCCTTCTTTGATCAAAATTTGAAAGTATCATGTCTCACATCTTACCCTGAGATCAAGGACACGGTTGTCAAGGCGGACATCTTGTCCTACCGTTGCTAAGGAAGAATCATCATCATCCTTTCCCTCTGCTCTGGCAGCATCATCAATTTGCAGAGGCAATCTGGGCTCAGCAGGACTCACAACAAATATCTTCAAATAAAGCAGAAATATATAGAAACTAGATGGATCTTCGACCTTTGAGCTTTGACCTTGTGACCCAAAAATCTTATTTTTTTTTCATGTACATACATGACCCTTTGAAATTTTACCTCATGACCCTTAGAATATAATCAGTTCATTGGCTTTGGAACATACAGTACATACATGACATAAGTTTGGTGGTAATCCGTCCATCAGTTATGTGATCACAAGCTATTTTTGCATACATAATGAGCCCTGTGACCTTTGACCTTATAAACAAATAAAAGGAACAGCAATAGGCACAAAATGGCCCCAACATATGCAAATAGCTAGAAAAAAAATGTAAAAATGCATAATTATATAAATCCGTTGCAAAGCAATGCAACATTTTTATAAAAACACATTTCATGTACCCTAATTAATGGTGTATAAACCGCCCTCATGTATTAACCGCACCCCTCTTTTTCGCCCTAAAAAAAACAGCAAGCAAGGTCCGTGTTAAAAAACCCATGCGGGAAGGCCTTTCATTTAACTGCGAGGTGCAGCTGAATGTGTTAGATCATTAATGTAAATTAAAAAACAGAGGACCTAGGATAAAACCTTGTGGTATGCTGTGTAATAGAAGAAAAATTGGAGGAATTATTATTATAAACTACATATTGAGATCTATCAGAAAGATTACTTTCAAACCAAGATGACAGACAAATTTGATTGTTGTTTAAGTTTCCGAGTGGTGAGTCAACACATCGATTACTGTGCTGGGAGACATTGCCAGGCATAGCGCCAGGTGGAGGGGCATAAATCGAAACTTTAAAAAAAAAAAAAAAAAATTTGTTTTTGTTTTTTGTTTTGGTGTACCGTGTATAAACCGACTTTGAATTTTTTTTGGCGGCAAAAAGATGCGGTTTATACACCGTTAATTACGGTATATAATTTATTGCACTTGTTTGACATTTGGAATTTGGAATTCACTATATTCTGAAGAAATGAAATTATAAGATTATAAATATTGTTTACTGGATAGAGATGTTCTTGGTACAAAACAAAGTTTTTGCTCATGGGCATAGCAAAAAGCTTCAAGCACCTCGTATGACAACTAGAGCTTAATTGCAAGTAATTATCTTTTTAACAATCAGGTAACATTAAACACCATACCTGTTCAATGTGAAGTTCGACATCTTTCTGGGTACAGCTCTCAATCGGCTGAGGCACAGCAGCTATCACACCCTCAACATCAACAATGGATTCCTTTGTAATACTAAACTTGGAAGAAGAAAAAAACATGAAATGATATGTAGGATGACCAAACAATAGTTAAGATCCATAATATCAGTTTATCTTTTTATTTTTGTTTTGCCAAAGTTTAAATCAACAAGTCAACGCAAAAGCGTAGCATCCTCTCACCGGGTACATATAGCCTATCTTTTAGAAAATTTTGCATATTTAATGAGCTGTGACCTTTGACCTACATACTCCGAAATCCAACCTAGGCTGTATTTTGATGCCATGTACCTTCATATCAAATTTCATTAAAATCTGTTAGAACATTACTTAAGTATAATTAGCTATTTTCACATATTTAATGAGCTATGACTTTTGACCTACATACCCCAAAATTGAACTTGGGCTGTGTTTTAATACCTGGTACCCTCATAGCAAATTTTATTAAAATCCGCCAAAACATTACTAAAGTAACCAACAGAAACCAGATTTGTTACGGACGGAAGGCAGCGCTGCTATATCCCCTCCGACTTCGTCAGCACAGGGATAATTAATCATTAATCTGTCATAACACATGTTAGGGCTGGGAATAAAAACCGGGTACCATGGTCCAGCTCAAGAGCCGCGGGTAAAAAAATTAGATACCTGTTTCTCACAATTGAATGGCAATGAAAAATAAGCCCCTTAAAAGTGACGTTTGTTAGCAATCAAAATATCAAATAAATCAACATGCATACCTCTGCTCAGATTTTCTCCCATTTTACATTATTTTCCTCCATGTTTGGCAATGTTTAATACTAATATCATGCCTGGAAATGTCAAAATCAGGGCCCATATTCCATGAACTTCTTAAGCATGAAATTTGAAAAAAAAATTAAAATCTTTTTTATATTTTTTGAGCTGTTAAAAACAAATTAAGATCAAACTAGTGGTTCAAATCAAATAAATTCTGTAAATATACTGTAATAAACATAAAATCTGAACTTACTTGGCAGCAAATTTAACCATAGGCTTGCTAACTTTGTCACTGACACAGAGCAGACCCTGGCAATTAAACTGTTGCTGTCGCAGCACAAGAAAACATTGCTTGCCTGTCAAGACAAAGAACCAAAACTGGTTCAAATTTGGGCAAAATATACAATACTTTCTGTTGTCATGACTTTATTTGCCAATGCAAAGACAACTCGATGTGTCCCCTGTTTTAAAGGGCAATTAAACATTTGTAATAAGTTCATGAAATAGGAAAAATAAAATAAACAGAATGGCCAAAGTTTGAAATAAATAGGACAAGTAATATGAAAGTTATGAATGTTTAATATAATATGAGATCACTAAGTCTATAGGTGCGAGTCTCGAATTGGCATTTTGGTCAGTTTGTTTGTGACATAGTATACAAATAAACCAAGCTGTGAGAAAGTATAGTGGAAATTATATATACCGGGTATGAAGAGGGACTGGCATAGTGCTATTGCCGGTCCCTCCAAAGATATATCATTTTCACTATTTTTTCGAACTAAATGCTTGGTATATTTGTTTTATATCTCTTCTTTACAACAAATTCCAACAACAAAAAAGATTAACTACCAGCTGATCTGAATCGAGCGCTATATAGAACGGGCTTAAGTATCGGTGACTTGCGCCGATACTGCAGGCCGCAAGGTAATGAGCAGCCTGTATAAGGACTCGCTAAGTGGCAACTCTGACATAACTTTCAAGAATGTTTCTGCATTTGCTTTCTTGGTTGCAGGTGAAGGAATCACTCTATTTTGTCCAAGGATTGTATAAAAAACTGTGCAATCATTATTTAAATCATTCAATTTTTCTTCAGAGAAAATATTATATTAAAGCTAATCTCTAGCTCTGGTATGGTAATTGTATTGTGAGAGAAAATTGCTATGATTTATCTTGGATTGTTTATCCTGCAGTAGATTGGTTGTTTGAACCAGAGAAATATGAAAAACAGCACAAAAACTTACTTACATCTTCAATAAAAACCACAACTCCCATTTGCACATAGTGACCCGTGTTAATCGCATGGTGGGTGTCTACGGTATTTAACCGGATTTCCTTATCTTTCTATGCTCATTTCTCAGCCACTATACATTTTCTACCAAAATTGTTTGGTACATTTATTTGTAATCTTGAATATTCAGTGTAAGTTTCATACGATTCTGTATTTTTCTATATTTACCAGAACTCAAGTATATCTTAAAGGGAGTTTTTTCCTACAAAGCACATGGGCAATATAAATATATTAGCAGGATAAGTCAGAGTTATAATGTTTTTGATTGACCACTACTTTACTGCTTCATAACTTTCTGATCGCAGGTATTCCTTAAAGGTAATACAAAGTATTGGTATGGGGTCATGAATTTGGTTCAAATGAATATATTGGAAGCATATGCGATTTTACAATATCCTATGATTGTTGTCGCCTTTGAACTCGCCTTTGAAGTCAAAAGTGATGAAATTGCAAATAATGAACTCTCTGTGTTGTATAGCTCCCTCTCAAGACTGATATTACTATAGCTTTAAAACAATGTTTCTTGACTACAATGGACTGATTTGCTATTCCAGTTTGGAAATTATATATCAGAACTGCATATTCTGAGGTTTTCATGGTCGCAGCTACTATGGAATGGCCTTTGGCACTATTTGAAATATTTGAAATTTAACGGGAGCACCTGTAAATTTTGATTATTTAATTTCTTGAAAGCAGAAGTGCTTTAGGGGCTAAATCTTTCAGTGCTTATATTACATCGACAGGAGCATCCAAATATATCCAAAAAAATTAAGAATTACTATCCATCCAATTTTCAAAATTTCCCAAAACTTTGCATTACCTTTAAACATCACTGATCTGTCTCTCTGCTTTTTTCTGCTATCATTAAAACTAACACAATGTCAGGATGGACTTCCCATATAGGTAAACCGATGCCATATTTATCCCAGTGTGCACAATTAAACTACAACAGGGTCTAAAATTGGAAAAATGCTGTATTGTCTTTTGCCTTTAGTCTTTTGTTCACCATACCTTTGCTCCTGCTGGTGTGTAAGCGAGCCCTGATCCAGACCTTCTGATCAATTTTGTCTGCAGTAAGCTCTTCAACTCGGTAGATTTTCCTCTCTGAAAGATACAAAGTAAATTTTTAATTATCTTTTGAAGTGGGCAGAGTAGAATTAAGTAGTATTTTTTACTTAGCTGCAGTGCTGTCTGTCAGGCACCATGTTCAGGTTCATTTCGGTTCTGTTCGGCAGAGTTCAGCAATTTTTTACCCGAACTTTAGTTTGGTTTGGTAATATAATAGCAAGACAAAGAAAAGTTTGCAAATATATTCACCCCGAAACTTGATTTACTACGCTCCAGTGGCCCCTGTCACATTCCATCAGCCTTCAACCAACAAGTCCCAATGGTATCCCTTTTATCTTGTTGACATAATTATATCATTCAATGACTTGACTCTTCTCTCAATCTCTTGCTGAGTGACTTGATGACAGAGAAAGTGCATGTTACGCAATGAACAGTCTATATATACCCAGGCAGGGGGGAAGTTCCCATTTGGTTCCTATTCTCGGACCTGTAGTTCTTGGAGCCTTGCCAACTATACAGCGTGCTTGACTATGCGCTTATGAATATTGATGTTTGCGGTCCGACAAATATGATTGGCCGTTATTTCACCTTCCGAGCCAGTCAGAGAAAGCATGATTTGTGAGGCTAACATGGCGCGCTTTCTCCAATTGGCTAGGAAGGTGAAGTAACGGCCAATTATATTTGTATAATCGCAAACATCAATATTTATGAGGGCATAGCCACTCACACTGTATGTAAAACTGGCTCATTGATAAACAATATCAAGAGCATGTGCGAAGAAGGAAAATGGGAATAAAGTAAATATAGAATGAACAATCATGACATGAAAATTAGGTACAAAATGACAAGTTAATTAGCTAGCAAAAATGTTTAAATTTTACTGCCGAACATCTGAACCAGGCCTTTGCGCTCGGTTCGGTTCAGCTCGTTTCGGAAGTGCCATGTTCAGCGGTTCGGCTACAGCCCTATTTAGCTGTTACTTGTCTTTTTATCTGTTTAGTAGTACGGTGGAAACTCGTTATCTTAGGGCAACAAACCCCAAAAGAATATACCGGTAAAGAGCTGGGACCAGCAAAATTATCTTGATATAATACAGTAAATCCTGTCTAACGCAACCACCCAAGGGAAACAAAAACACAGGGGCCATTGTAGACAGGTTTGCGTTGGCGGCCATCTTGGTTTTGAATAATTGATTGACAGCACTCGCAAGGCCTATTGCAGACCAGGGTCGCAGACCCGCCAGTGCGCAAACAATTCTCTGTGGCTTTATAAGGGCTCAGTCGGGCGAAAACGAGGCAGAGAGCCGATCGATGAATCTAACAACGCAACTTTATTTTTTGGTGTTCAAAAATTGAATAAAGAAAGAGAGGTATGGTTTTTCCTAAAAATAAAATGTAAAATGATTGGACGTAATTTTGTATCTTTGAAATAGCCTATGTGTGCATGACGAACAAGCAAGTCTTTGATTGAGAAGTTCATGACGATGACTCTGTATTGTTACATTTTCATTAGGCACAGTCCATAATGAAAAGTGCAAGAAACCATATCCTGTCGGTAATTAAATGTTTTGATTGAAGTTTTAATAAAAGCTTTGCCGATGAATAGTTTAATTGTGTGTCAGATCTACACGGCTGTTGTTGGTTGCTATATGACTGGTGCTGGTGGTCGTTGTATAGGCATTTTTCGAAAGCAAAATTAGTGGCCGCTGGCCGCGTTAGACAGGTGGTCGTTGTGTACAGGTTTGACTGTAGATACCTCATTATATTAGAGCTCTTAATGAGTTTCCGTTGTATCTAGTTTTGATGAATGTTATCTGTCATGCTAATTAGGATATTCAAATATCACAACCACTATTCATTATCAAGAAAATATTTGATAACTGGCAAGGCAAAAACCATATGAGAATTGATAGCAGTAGGATATTAATATAATTTGAATATACTTGAATAGTTACCTGAAATTTGCACCAGTAACATGCCCAATTCTCTCAAAGATTTATTGTTATGGTTAATTGCAATGATGTTTAACCGTTTAGGGTGAGCATATAAGTATTGCGTTTGGTCGGAGGTTGAATTGTAAGAATTCAATTAGTGAAGGAACACTGAGTAATGGTTGCTGTAGCAAGAATAGAATTAGACATAGAATTACTTGAATATTAGTCCACGTACCAATCTTATTCTGTGACTGAATCAGGGGATAATTGCCATAGAGATCCTTAGCAAAATCATCTCCTGCTTCTGCCTCGGCCTCTGCAGCCTGTTGTTGAAAGAAAAAGTGAGTGCCAGAGTAAAGAATCAGTAGTTACATAAAACATATGAAGAAAGCATATTAATATGTTCAGAGCAATGATTTCCAAAGATGATACAACTGTTATTCAGAATAACCCTGTAAGTTGGGGCTCTGATCGGATCGGAAGATCGGAGCGACACCCTCGCACCTATGATCGGTAGCGGATCGGAAGATCAACAAAAAAAATCAGCCAATTTTTTTTTTTTTTTTTAAATGACGAAAATTTTCAAGTTTTGGGCTATCAAATGCTCAAAAAAAGTTAATGGCTGGAATTATTTTGTCATTTGGAGTTGTTGTAGACCATGTTTGTTGATATTTGGTGCCTTTTCATGACTTTGAAATTAGTAATATTGGTCTAAGAGCAGAGGCAAAACATACGGGCCGCCATCTTGGATTATAATGTAGGTATTTTTTTTTTTAATGATGAAAATTTTCAAGTTTTTGGCTATCAAATGCTTTAAAAAAATTCATGGCTGGGATTATTTTGTCATTTAGAGTTGTTGTAGACCATGTTTGTTGATATTTAGTGCCTTTTCATGACTTTGAAATTAATAATATTGGTCTAAGAGTAATTGAGTAAAAGAGTAAATTGTAATTTATTACATTTCCTGGGTATAACATACCATTTCCATATATAGATAAACTTGTAATGTGTCAACACATGAAATTTAAAAACAAAAAACAAGAAACCAACAACAAAAAGATAAACAAACTAGATGGAATTTTGACTGCGCGCAGTCGAAAATGATGCCTCCGCCATAGAGCAATTTAAACAAGTTTGGAGTTTAAATCTCCAGTGGTTCTTGAGATATCATGATAACAATCTCAATGTATGGAATTTCATAAGTTGACCTCTGTGACCCTTGACCTTTGACCTACGTGCTCCAAAATCTAATCAGATTGTCTTCCTATGGTGATACACACTATCATTAAGTTTGAAGTTTAAATCTCCAGTGGTTCTTGAGATATTATGATATGGTGATACGTACTATCATTAAGTTTGAAGTGAAAATTCTCCAGTGGTTCTTGAGATATCGCGATAACGATCTCAATGTATGGAATTTCATAAGTTGACCTCTGTGACCCTTGACCTTTGACCTACGTGCTCCAAAATCTAATCAGATTGTCTTCCTATGGTGATACACACTATCATTAAGTTTGAAGTTTAAATCTCCAGTGGTTCTTTAGATATTATGATAACAATCTCAATGTATGGAATTTCATAAGTTGACCTCTGTGACCCTTGACCTTTGACCTACATGCTCCAAAATCTAGTCAGATCGTCTTCCTATGGTGATACATACTATCCTTAAGTTTGGAGTTTTTACATCTCCAGTGGTTCTTGAGATATCATGATAACAATCTCAATGTATGGAATTTCATAAGTTGACCTCTATGACCCTTGACCTTTGACCTACATGCTCCAAAATGTATTCAGATTGTTTTCCTATAGTGATACACACTATCACTAAGTTTGAAGTTTAAATCTCCAGTGGTTCTTGAGATATCATGATAACAATCTCAATGTATGGAATTTCATAAGTTGACCTCTGTGACCCTTGACCTTTGACATACGTGCTCCAAAATCTAATCAGATCGTCTTCCTATGGTGATACATACTAACCTTAAGTTTGAAGTTTAAATCTCAAATGGTTCTTGAGATATCGCGCTAACAAACTCAATACAAGGAATTTCATAAGTTGACCTCTGTGACCTGTGACCTTTGACCTACGTACTCCAAAATCTAATCAGATCGTCTTCCTATGGTGATAAATACTATTCCCGAGTCTTAAGTTTAAATCTTAAATGGTTCTTGAGATATTGTGATAACGGTCAAACGGGACGGACGTACGGACGGACGTACGGACGGACAACCCAAAAACATGATGCCTCCGGCACCACCTTCGGTGGCGGAGGCATAACAAAAAGTGGCTCAAAATATATTTCCCTGATGGAATCGACAAGATACCAATTGTGATGAATATTGTACCTGTTCTGCTTGTCTTTCAGCCTTTTTAGCCGCTTTCTCTGCTTCCTTTTGGGCTTTCTTCTGGGCTTTCTTGGAAATTGGTGCATCTCTTTTTAGGGTGGAAGGGTAAAATGACAAGTGAAATCATATTTCAATCTTAATACACATTGGAAGAAAGTTGGTTTGATTCTCACAAGATTTAATACTAAAACATTTACAAATGTATGGGGCAATTAAACTTTCACAGCAAATAAACAGACACAGATATATGATCCATGGCTTTAGAGCAGCCGTGTCCGGTTTTATGGTTCAACTTCCAGATGAGCCCAAAAATACCACGCTCAACATTTGGGCCACAGATTGACATGGTCTCTGTACGCATTAGATCATTCCGAACCATGCAATGAAATAAGACACAAATTTGCATTGTAATTAGTTTTAGGATATATACATGTCGATGAAGCTTGTTCCATTTAATTTACTGGATGTAATGCATAGGTCACATTTGCTCTACAGCTAGGATACGGCGGCCGTACACCCCCAAAGTCAAGAGATACCTGCGCCGGCCGCAGAGAATCTGCGGTAGCATCATGGTCACTCTAGGTCGTATCCTTACCTTTACAGGCCGTACGGGTCGCCGTGGGATTATAACGAGGAGTTATAACTGTTTTCATTTCTAGAATCGCCGAAGCCATGTCGTAGAGCGGTTCCATGGCAACCGTAAGTCGGGCGAACGGTGACCTTGCGTTTTATATACATCAGGGATGAAGCGGTAGCATCAGTCTGGCCGCATGGTCACCTAATGGTCCCCCTTCCCCCTTAGAATGATAGTAATATGTTTTTGTGTAGATGCACTAATATAGAGTGTGTTTTTTTCCAGTTAAATCATGAAAAATTGGAATTTTGATAGACTATCTATAGTTCATAAAAAAATTTGTGAATGTCATGCATGCAATATGATACAAATAATATAACTTGGGCAAAGGTATGGGGGAATCAAGTTTTGAGGGATAAAAAGGGAAATTAGATTAAACTATATAAAGCAATTGATAAATAGTGAGGACATAATGTCACAAACTGATAACCAAATTGGCAATTTGTGTAGTGATTTTCATTGTTCCATAGTTTTACATACTTTTTCAAAAATTCATAACTTTCTTATTGGGTATCCGATTTTGCTCAAACTTTTTTTGATTGGTATGTCTGATTTTTCTGCTTCTATTGGAGGCAAGTTATTTTTGGAGTGGACTTGTACTTTAAGATGAACGTACTTGTTGTTGAATTCTCTTGCATGCTTTCACACTTTCTTTTTTTAAATTCTCAATTAAGCTGAACGTACTCGTTGAATTGAATGCATATTCATCCTTTCTTTTTTTGTGATTCTCAATTAAGCTAAACATAGTCAATGTTATATTGTCTTGCATACTGTACTTTTACCCTTTCCTTTTTTAAAATTCTCAATTTAAGCCGAATGTACTCGTTGAATTGTCTTGCATGCTTACATCTTTTCTTGTTTTAAATTCTCAATTTAAGCTGAACTTAATCGATGTTGAATCGCCTTGCATGCATTCACCCTTTCATATTGTTTTTTTCAATGTGTAATTGTCTTGCTTGCATGCTTTTACCTTTTTGTATTTTTGTAAGTTAAACTTTTTATATAGTTTCTTTTTTTATTACAATGAGCGCATCTATTTTTATTGAGTGTAGACTATTTCCTATATAATATATGTTTGGACTTGGAGGAAAATGTATTATTCTGCCATCTTTGGTTTTTAAAACAGCATTGTTTACTGTTATTATTCTTATTAAATCGGCACCTTCAACTGCAACTCAAAGTAAAATTGCATGCGTTTTCGGGGAGGGACCTGGGAAACTGCCAAGTGGTATGGTAGTGGCAAAAAAATCAAAAAAATCAAAAAAATCAAAAATTCAAAAAAATTCAAAAAAATTATAAAAAAACATGGCGTCCGAATATTCGAGTATTCCCTTGTGAGCCTGGGAGTGTACTCGGGTACCTCATTACACTGTTGTGCACAGCCCTACCTTATACGTGTATTATACCCTCGCACGCTCGCTCACGCGCCGAATCATGAAAATGTCACGCATTGCTGATTTTTGAATAGGGATGCCAATGCCTAAATCTAACTTTTTAATTACTAATTTGTTTATAATAAAACAAAGATTAAAAGAAAGTATTTTCTTTCACTAAGAAAATTCACCCATCTGCCGACTCCAGAAGTTCCATCAAATAGGAGATATCCAGCTCTTTTTATCCAGTTTCCTTCTATGCCTATCCGTACGTAAGAGCCTTGAAATAATTATATTTCATGTCGCAAAATTACGTTCATAATTAGACAGGCCCGAGGGGATTGGGCGTGTCATTGCCCGGACAACAAGTTTAAAACTTCGCGCGAAATTCCATTCATCATCAGCGGCTAGCCTTGAATCGGTCGCACACACCGACACAGCTAGGTAATTGCATTGCAAGCCGCAGTCCTGAAATCGAGCCAGGCCCATGGAGGGACAAAACATGAACAGACAGAAAAAATAAACGTAGATCTACGTGATTGTAGTCAATATAATCCTAGAAAAGAATTAAAATTAATAATCAAGCCTACCGTATTTTCGGCGTAAAGGCCGCAGTATTTTCGGGTGAGAAAAAATCAAAAAGTCAGGGTGCGGCGTATACGCAACAACAACAAAATTCAGCGATCAAAACATCACATCCATTTGCACGTATGGGACTATAGGAACGGTAGCATGACTAGACAATGGTACAGGACAATTCTAGAATAACTCCACACAACTTACCGACAAGTTTATGTTGCATAGTTGACATGAAGACGAAAAAACTTATTTTTCTAATAAAATCTGCCGATAGATCTAGATCTAAGTCCATACCATTGCATCGCCAAAAAGTAAACAAAGGGACAGGCCGTTACTTACGGAGCTAGCTGCCGCGCAACGCAACTGCGCAGGTCGAAAAATGCTATTTCGGATTACACCGCACATCGAGGAAGGGGTATTGTAGGATACCAAATCTGCGTACGATACAGTACTAGCTTAAAAGTCGATAAAGATCTGCTAAATTATGATCATTTTTGAGGTTAACTTCTTGTTGATTTATAAGAATATTGATGAATTTGGTATAGTTTGTAAAAAAAAAAGAGTGTTCTACAAGAAAATTACGAAATGTCAAAGTTGGGGGTGCGGCCTATACGGCGGTGCGGCCTTTACGCCGGCAAATACGGTACCTTAAGGTGATATTCCAAATCCAGTAGTATTTCCTCATGAGTAAAGATCAATCTGACACTGCATTATCAACGATCAAGAAGTTACGAGGTCCAATTAACATCCATCTTGCAGCGAACACAATACAGCAGCATGCATAGCGCATATCCATGCAACGTACGTGTACTAATATTTCTCTCTCTCTCTCTCTCTCTCTCCCTTTCGCTATACGTAAGATACTCACTAACCATGTATCATACAACACACACCTTCAAATAGAATAGACTGTTCACGTGGACTTTTTTTTTACTGAAATATCTTTTTTAACACTTCTCATACATTACTGCACGACACTCGTATCTAGTGCTGTGAAAATAAGGTACTAGGGTTTATTAATAAGACTACGCTTTGCGCAAAATCTGACCGGAGCTCAGACATATGTCGCAATACCCTTTATTTTTGGCACGAACAATGACGTCACTGTTCAGTTTTCCTTCTCATTTTGAGATGGATGTAGCTATAGGGCTCAAACCAACACAAAATTGACGGAAACATTGTAATCTATCTACTTTCGAATGTTCAGTTTGTAAAAATCTGTATTTAAAAAGATATAATTTTTTTTCTTTATATTTTCTAGTTGTTAGAAGTGGCAATTGTGAACATCTGAAATGTTGATCTCTATCTAGGGTGTCTGATCGCGCACCCAATGTTGTGAGCTAAAATTCTTCCTATAGAGATTACACGCATCCCTATGCAGTCTACGTGCATTGCGCAACCATGCAAAAAAGTCAATTTTTTTTTCAATTCGAGATTCAAACCTTTATCTGTTGTGATCCTGAAGGTGATACTCAATAAATGAGATGTCATATGAAAGAGCAGGTGAATTCCAATATTTCCAAAGGGGCGTAGCCCCCGAAATTCTAAAAATATCTTGGTCAAAACAGCAATTTAAACATTGTGTCCTGGCTAACTCTGAGGTTTGTCACTTTTGAGATATGACGCCCCGATCGATAAGTAGTCCCAGTCCTAAGGAACAATTCTATGTGCTTGTATTTTCGCTAGCCCCCAGGGATCACAACTGATAACAGTTTAAATATACCCTTCTCGCTATTTGGTGGATCAGCTAATTTTATAATTATATTGCCATTGACTACAACGTGTATTCACTTCCGGGTTCTATGGCGCGAACGGCCACCCATACTAGTCAATGGCACATATCGCGGAGACAGCGTGGCTCAAGCTGCAAGTCGCGCATTGGCTGTGATAACGCCATTACGAACGTGTAGATGGCGCACAGTTTTTCCTTCATAATCATTTTGCCTTCGGCGTAGACTAGAAGGGATGAGATTGATTTAGATGACTCCAGCAGCGAGAGTTTAACACGGCTTGCAAGATTTTCAACATGGATGTCGATTTTGACCCATAATTTCCTTAAAAGGGACCATTAAACGGATTATTTCAGTCAAGTTGGTAAGTGGAACTGAATTATTATAGCCTAGGCCTAATTTACAATATAACATGCACGAGGTAAAATGACATTTTGGGGGATTTTGGGGGCAAAACGCTACGACCTGAAATGGCCGTGGCGTTATCAAGGGAATGTGTATAGTCTAGATGGTTTCCGTCTCTAAAGAGAGAGCCGGCCGACCCTACCCCAATAAGAGGCTAACGAACGAAAGATGGGTCATTTCTTTAATAAAACCTTTCGGTCTAGCCTACTACCCTCTCACATTGCCTGGCGGAAATCATCGAATGACGATGGAAACGGCATTAATCACAACAATTACACGAGGCCTAGGCCTACAGCCTCCAGGTTTGACGGCAAACCGCTGCTCACACACGTACACGGCCCGGTACACACCGTCAGCTCAGCTGATCGATGATTTCGACTCGAGCTCGACACAAGTTGCTCATTCACCTGTTTCTATTCCTCGTTAATCAGTTAATTATCAATTGCTAGACTTTATCATTTACAGTTGCCTTACCCTTGATTATTTTCTACATTTCCCCCATTGTCTGCCATGATGGTTCAGGAAAAATTCCCTCGATGAGTATGGTCGTCTCGGGTCCACAACAGCTGCTTGCGCAATGCCACGCGTGTTAAAATTCTCCCAGCGAATCACTCGATCATGATCGCAGCGCGCTAGCGCTGCGCGTGTAGACCAGAGAGCTCGGGGGAAGAGCTTCGATCGCTGCTCAACAGTGAGTCAATCACTTTCTGGATCTACAGGCTTTGTATTTTCAAAGAGATTCGATCATACACGTATGTCCTCCGTAGGAGGACTAGAGAGCCAACTAAAATCGTGACCTTTGACATTTCATAGGTTTTGCATTGGTTGCATTATGGGGGTTTTGTCCGATTTGAACGACGGTTTTGGAGGGTCAATGAATATTCATGAGCAATGACGTAAAAAATACGCCAATTACTGTTTGTTGATTGGCCATTGACAAAATTTTTTGCATTCCCAGAATTCCCTACGATTTGAGCACGAAAATGGCGGTTGTATGAACTGCAACTTTCAAGTTATTCAATTACGAACAATGAAACATTTTTCTTTTAAGTGAATTTCTATTATAATAGAAGTTTGTCAAGTACATCTCAGTGAAGCAGAAAATCTTCAGGCGACCATTGGCATCGAAGTGATACCCTATGATATCAAGAAAAGTAAGTAAAGATCCATTTTGTGTGAAGGTCTCTGAAATGATTGTGATGTGTTCGTCATTGCAGTGAGCGGCTCTCCGCATTGTCACAACGTATTACCCGGTTAACCCCCTACCCCATCCTCTTTTCTTTCTTCTGACCAAAGAATATTAACTGATTGAATGAACTCTAATTTAAGTCATCGACGGTAGTATTTTCAGAATAATCAGGATTTTACCGTAGGTTATTTCATTAGAGCACATCTCATAATTTTAAGTTCAGTTCATAGCTTGATTTCCGATAGTAATCGGTCGTAGATGTGGACCTGTTGGAGACTGCGCAAATGGCTCATTGCTAGTCCAAGCCGATGAGATCTCGTCGAGCGGTTTATGATCTTCAATCCGCCGGTTCTAGCCGGCTGTAACACTCCACCAAGAAGCGACTGCGTTTCCTGAGCTGGCGCGGCTATAAGTGTGTTAACTGTTACTGTAAAGCCTAGGGCTAGGCTAGTATTCATAGCATAGTCTGGCCTGAATTTTCTGTCTCTTTTGTTCGTTAGCCCTTGATTTGGGTAGGGTCGGCTCCTCTCTTCAGCCGACCCTACCCAAATCAGAGGCTAACGAACGAAAGAGACAGAAACATTCGGGCTAAGCAAAGCCTAAGCAGAGCCTAGGGCTAGGCCTAGATGATACTGATAGATCTAGGTCTAGATCTTAAATATAAACAGCATTTAACCCCGCATCTAGTATAGGCCTAGATCTAGGGCTAGATTCTAGGCCTAATGCATTCTAATAAAGAAAGACTAAATAAATGCCTGGTGTAGGTGGATTAAATAAATGATGTGGAAGTTATGGAGAGGGGGGGGGGGGTGCACAATCATTCTGTGCCCCCCTTTTTCAGATGTGGCATAGGTCTAGGGACGGGTCTAGATCTAGCTCTAGAGCCACCTACTAATAATACTAAAAATAGGCAATTAGATCTAGATCTATAGCTTGTGTTATGCCATAGCAAAGAATTCCAAAGCCATGGGTCTAGTCTCGTTTTTGCTCCACTAGGTCTAGACTAGACTAGTCGTGCACATGTGTCATTATTGTGATCCAGGTCCAGATTCAGCTTAGTTTGAATGTAGATCTAGATCTACTACTAGGCTAGATCTACCATCAACAACAAAAACAAAAGAAAAAAGGTGTCTCCCCCCCCCCCCCCCTCTTTCCCTGATTTTGCTCTTACTCATGTCATTGTGCCTTGTTTGAAATAATTAGTTTATTTTCAGGATTTTATGCCACCCCTTTTAGTTTTATGTTGGTGAGAATTCTGGATCCAACCCTACATATGATATGGATATTTCTTTCTTTATTAAAGGACACGAACAAAGTTATAAACTGATAACTAATGCATGCATTTGATATTAGCAGGAACCTTACTAAGTTTATGTTTTCTTTAAATTGTAGATCCTATGGAACAAAGAAGCAGATAATGATGACAGAAGTGCAACAAAGAGCACCAGGACCTGATCATCAAATGCTATGGTGTAGATCTAATCAAGACAGGACACCTAAGTTGAACTCTGGCAAGGTATGTTTGTATGAAGTTCGAAAATATTCAGGCTGTATAACCTAAGCCCATGCGAACACCGCACTCGACTTGGACTATATACAAAGATTTGGGAAACTGTCATCTTGTGTTGCATTATATCTTGTAATTCTCATTTATTCTCTAGCTTTTTATTTAGGTGACAAACTATGGTGTTGATACAGTTTATTCTCTTAGCATATTAAAAGACGTACTCAAAGGCATTTTTTCCTAAATATTACATTATATCTCACAAACTTTTTGCTCACAAAAGTCTAGCAAATAATAACTTAAAATAAATTGGAAATTACTTTTAAAATAATTGGAAATACATCTAAACCTTTACTCTTCTTTTCAGAAAAGACCCTATCAGATAGACATAAGTTTATCATTTTTTAATAAAATTAAAATGCAAGACCTAAACAAAGTGGGAAGGTACTAGGGTCTAGATCTATTTTTGAAAATCCAATGTAATGCAGCAGTTTTAATCTTATTTGATTTCTCCTCTCTTTTTGTTTTTATTATGCAGGTTGTCCCTTGCAGAAGGTTTGATACCCAGGCTTCTTTTGTACAAGTCCCTAGTCCACCCTCATCTTGAGAACTGTTCCTGTGTCTGGGATCTCTACAACATCTCAGATGTCCAGGACGCTACTTCACAATGGGGACCACAAGTGAACCAGCAGTTTGACTGAGATGATCAGCACCTTTAGTTGCCTACTATATCTACAACTACAAGGCACTCTGCAAGAAGACTGGGAATGGTGCACAAGATAGTCGATGGTCTCTCCGCTCTCCCTTGAAAATTTTCCCACTGCACTACTTATAGCTACTTGCGCCCTCTATATAGCAAACAATGCCTAATCGGTGCCTGTTGGGCCCCCATGATCCTCTTTTTCTTATATTAATTGAGAGCTGATTTGATGAGATAACCACCTGTAAGTGACCTTGCAGGGTGGTCTAATCCCCCAGACCAAACTAGTACAGACGGGCTTTAACAAATCACGAGCAGGAAGTACCATGACATGACCCTCCAGTTGCACCAAGCCAAGCCAAGACATAGACAAGTTTGTATTTGCCCAACACTCTGTCCCAAAGTTAATGGAACTTACTTCCAGCAAATATAGTGCATGCTGACAGTCCAGAGAACTGCCAGGGACTACTTCTGAGGCATCTACTCTCCTTATCCCACTTAGAAACAATTTATCTTCCTCACACCACTTGTAATCTTTAGTATTAATTCATCTTCGTGATAGGCTACAACGCCTTTTGAAGATTACCAGAAGAAGAAGAAGAAGATATATCGAGGATCATGAAAGTAATCATTTGTTCTTTTAAATGCGTGTACATGAAACATAGTTTTTTTATATTTAATCTTAAGTCAAGTTCTGACAAATATATTAGGGATGCTGAACTGGATAGTAAATTGAAGGGGGGGGGGGGATAAAATAATGTAGTTCGAGAGTAATACTGTATTAATATAATTAATAACATTAATAATAATAACAATATTACAAATAGTAAGAATAATGACAATGATCATGATAATAGCAGTAATAATAATGATAATACAGGTAGTATTAAAAACAACAATAATGTCCAATGTAAGATAAAGTACTCATAAAACTCAGTATATACCTGTGCTTTACATAATAAAATAGCATGTTGATATTATTGATTTTTTTTTTCTCAAAATCTACAGTAAACTTTTTCAACTGAAAAATTTAAATTCAAGAGACAGCACCCCCCCCCCCTCCCCCATCCTTTTGTCATCCTTTTGTTGATGTCATGTTGGATTTAAAAAGATCTTTATAGAAACAAAATGTGTTGATAAATGAGTTCATAGATGTTAATAAATTAGTTAATACTGCTTAATTCTGTTCTTTTCATTTTCTTATTTTGTGAAATATATGTGATGATGCTGGTGATTATGATGATGTAGGCACTCTGTAATGATTATGCTCTATGACTGAGGTGAGATGGGGGCTGATGCAGTCTTGTGTAGAATTGAGTATGGTGTTCGACCATTTGATGTTTGTTTATATCTGGCATCAGCGAGATAGATTTAACCATCTTTCGTATAATGAGAGAGAAAGCGGAAATGTAACAAGAGAGTGGACAAGACTAATGTATAAATATAATATAAAAAATGGTTTACAATAAAGATGAGCGGGGGGGGGGGGGGGGTTAAATAAAGAATAAGTCAATGCCAAAATGATGAAAGCATTAATTGGGGTGTGGATGGGGGAGGGAGGGTAATAGAGCCTATGGAAATGTCAATATTGGAAGGGGTCCCTGTATTGAAAATGTTACTGAGGGGGGGGGGGGGGGGGCAAATTTAAAAAATATCGGTGGCAACGAATGCAAGAATGAAAAGAACGAGACAAAATAGAAATTTCATTTGGGATGGGGCACAATATGAAGATCATTGAAGTCGAGGTGAGAATGATTCATTATTTGGACACTAAAAATATGAATATATCACTTGTTGAGTGGGCTAAAGGATCAGTGCAATTTTTTTGATTAAACAAATATTTAAGTTAATAAACGAACAAAACAAAAAAGGTAAACAATGAATTGAGGTACCACAGTGAAATGGGGTCATTATGTTTGCCTTTTAACTGAACTGAATTTAAAAAAATGTACTTTCCATCCTGGTGACAGTGAAGTTTGTGGCCCCAACTAAGTCAACCATTTAAAAGTTTATTACCCCCCCCCCCCCCCCCCCCCCCACCCCCCCGCACATACACCTCCCCAACTGTGCATGACCTTTGTTCTATATTTATCCGGCCCAATTAAGGATAGTAACGCATGCGCATTGTCCTTTTTTCATTGCGATAATATGCTAATAAGTGGAAAAGAGCTCATGAATATTCCAAATTTTAATTTAAATATTTTGCGCGCTACGCGCAGTCCAAAATCCCCATTTCGCTGGTG